ATGAATGCAGAGTGTGTGTTTGTGTGTTGTGTGTGTATATAATGAATGCAGTGTGTGTGTGTGTTTGTGTGTTTTGTGTGTATATAATGAATGCAGTGTGTGTGTTTGTGTGTTTTGTGTGTATATAATGAATGCAGTGTGTGTGTTTGTGTGTTGTGTGTGTATATAATGAATGCAGTGTGTGTGTTTGTGTGCTGTGTGTATATAATGAATGCAGTGTGTATATAATGCAGTGTGTGTTTGTGTGAATGCAGTGTGTGTGTGTTTGTGCAGTGTGTGTAAACTTATTTTAATATTATATTATTTTAATATTATTATTTTAATATTATTTTATTATTATTTTAATATTTGCATTATTTTTTTTTCAAAATGTTTTTTTGACCCCCTCCCTGCTTGTTACCCGGCCAGGGAGGGCGGATATGTTAATCCCTGGTGGTCCAGTGGCATTGGCTGTTCAGTGGGGGGGCTGACAGCGAGCTGTTACTTACCTTCCTGCAGCTCCTGTCAGCTCCCTTCTCCTCCGTGCAGCTCCCCTGTCAGCTCCGTTCTGCTTACAGTGTAAGTCTCGCGACACCCGCGGGTCTCGCAAGACTTACACTGTAAGCAGAACGGAGCTGACAGGGGAGCTGCACAGAGGAGAAGGGAGCTGACAGGAGCTGCAGGAAGGTAAGTAACAGCTCGCTGTCAGCCCCCAAAAGGACTGCCGGGCTTGTAATGAGCCCGGCAGTCCTGGTCTGTATTATGGCAATGTAAGTTGCCATAATACAGACCTTGACTCGAGTATAAGCCGAGTGGGGGGTTTTCAGCACAAAAAATGTCCCGAAAAACTCGGCTTATACGGGGTATATATATATATATATATATATATATATATATCATGAATTTTAATATCTCTAATTTCAATGATAGTTTCAACTGAATTGCTTTAAAAAGCCAATGCATTAATATTGGTGGTTTTACACTACTGTCTAATGCCTATATACTTAACTATTTCATTATAATTACAGGTAATTGGTGTTGTATAGGCTTCCCCTGGCAACTTCAACTGTATTCTCATTTATCACAATTACATAGTTACATAGTAACATAGCTGAAAAGAGACTTGTGTCCATCAAGTTCAGCCTTCCTCACAAATGTTGTTGCTCTTGATCCAAAAGAAGGCAAAAAACCTGGTCTGAAGTGCTTCCAATTTTGCCACAAACTAGGAAAAAATTCCTTCTTGACCCCAAAATAGCAATCAGATGTCTCCTTGGATCAAGCAGCTATTACCCCACTAATTAGAAATTAAATCCCTGTTTGTTATGTTTTTGTAAGTATTTATCCAATTTCAGTTTAAACATCTGTATGGACTCTGACAAAACCACCTCTTCAGGCAGAGAATTCCATATCCTTATTGTTCTTACTGTAAAAAAAAACTTTTCTTTGCCTTAGATGAAATCTCCTTTCTTCCAGCCTAAATGTGTGACCTTGTGTCCTATGTATAGCCCTGTTTATGAATAGATTTCCAGATAAAGGTTTGTACTGGCCCCAAATATATTTGTATAAAGTTATCATATCCCCTCTCAGGCGCCGTTTTTCCAAACTAAACAGATTTAATTTTTTTTAACCTTTCTTCTTAACTAAAATGCTCCCTTCCTTTTATCAATTTTGTAGCTCGTCTCTGGACCCTCTCCAGTGCCCTGATATCCTTCTTTAGAACAGGCACCCAAAATTGCACAGCATATTCAAGGTGTGGTCTTACCAGCGATTTATAAAGAGGCAAAATTATATTTTCATCCCGAGAATTTATGCCCCTATTTATACATGACAAAATCTTACTGGTCTTAGCAACGGCAGATTGACATTGCATATTGCTGCATAATTTGTTGTCTATAACAATTCCCAAATCCTTCTCATGTGTGGTTATCCCTAATTCACTACCATTTAGTGTGTGAGTTGCTTGTGCATTCTTAACCCCGAAGTGCATAACTTTGCATTTCTCTATGTTAAATTTCATCTGCCATTTTAGTGCCCAGTCCCCCAATCTATCCAAATCTCTCTGCAGCAAAGCAATATCCTGCTCACATTTTATTACTTTACAAAGTTTTGTGTCATCTGCAAACACTGATACATGGCTTTCAATGCCTATTTCAAGATCATTTATAAATATGTTAAATAGAAGTGGTCCCAAAACAGAACCCTGAGGGACACCACTTACCACTTTTGTCCAGCCTGAAAATTTACCATTAATTACAACTCATTGTACTCTATCCTTAAGCCAATGTTCTACCCAAGAACAAGAATATTCATCTAGACCAATTTCTTTTAGTTTGAAGACTAACCTATTGTGAGGAACCGTATGAAATGCCTTGGAAAAATCCAAGTAGATCACCTGCACTGCAACACCCTGATCTATACTTCTACTTACTTCTTCGTAGAATGCAATTAGGTTAGTTTGACATGACCAGTGTTTCATACAACCTTGCTGATTATTGCTAATAACAAAGTTCTTCCCAATGAATTCCTGAATATTATCACTTAATAGCCCTTCAAATATTTTCCCAGTTACAGAAGTTAAGCTCACAGGTCTATAATTTCCAGGCAAGGATTTTGAACCCTTTTTAAATATAGGAACAACATCTGCCTTCCTCCTTCAGGTACAACACCTGAAACAAAAGAATCTTGAAAACTTAAATACAGAGGTTCACTTATTTCCCCACTTAGCTGCTTAAGTACTCGTGGGTGAATACCGTCTGGCCCAGGAGCTTTATTTACATTAATTTTCTTAATAGCTGTAGCACCTTGTCTCGAGTTATCCAATCACAAGTTATTTGCAAGTTTTTTGCAGCAATCATTTGCATATCTCTTGCCATAGGATCCTCATTAATATATACTGAAGAAAAATAGTTATTTAAAATTTCTGCTTTTTCCTGGTCTTCATTAGCTAATAAACCCAACTCTGTTTCAAGTGTACCTACACTTTATTTTTTGTTTTTTTAGAATTGATGTACTTGAAAAAAATTTGGGGTTGGTTTTGCATTCTTTAGCTATCAATTTCTCATTTTCTAGTTTAGCCACTTTAATTGCCTTTTTGCAAGCGTTATTGGCTTCCTTATATCTTAAATAGGATGCCTTTGATTTGTCTGATTTAAATGCTTTAAATGCCCTTTTCTTATTTTTAATCTCTTGTTTTACTTCTCTACTAAGCCACATTGGTTTTAATTTGTTTCTTTTATATTTATTAACCAATGATACATACTGAGAAATGTACCTTTCCAATATTTGTTTGAATAGTTTCCATTTATCCTCAGTGTTTTTATAACTAAGAAGTTTATGCCAGTCGATATGTTGTAGAGCTGCCCTAATCTTATTAAAATTGGCTTTTTTTAAATTATATGTTTTAGTATACCCCACTTGCTTTTGCTTTTTTGAGTTTAATTAAAAATTTACCATATTGTGATCACTATTTCCCAAATGCTCCCCTACTTGAATGTTGGTTAAAAGATCAACATTGTTTGTTATGCAAGATCCAGACAAGCATCCTTTCTAGTTGGTGCTTGTACCAGTTGTGACATAAAGGTGTCATTTAACACATTCAAAAACCTGATGCCCCTTGCTGAAGTACTAGTCCCTCTTTCCCAATTTATGTCTGGATAATTAAAATCTCCAATAATTAACGTGTTACCTCGATTTGCAGCTTTCTCAATTTGCTCTAACAGCTGTTCTTCCTCAATAATATTTACATTAGGTGGTTTATAACATATCCCAACCAATAATTGATTTCCCTTTGTTTGCCCCAAGTAGATATCTACCCATAAAGCCTCCCCCTATCCTCGTCACACTCCACATGCCTAAGATTTGACTTTAACTCATGGTTGACATAGAAACATACCCCACCACCCTTCTTGTTTTTCCTATCCTTCCTAAATAACGTGTACCCATTTACATTAACTGCCCAGTCATGTGTCTCATCCCACCATGTTTCTGTTATGCCTATTATATTATATTGTTTAGTGTTTGCTATTGCCTCTAGTTCCCCCATTTTGTTATATAGGCTCCTTGCATTAGTAAGCATACATTTAATATTATCATGAGTCTTTTGTACTTTTTGTGAATTATCAATATTACATACCTCCTCTGTTCTGAGCTTTCCCCTCCCCCCATCTCCACCCCCTTTGTTCTGAGCTAAAGCCCATCTCCTTTCCATCCTATCTCCATTTTCTAGATTGCTTTGACCCTCCCCCCCACCACTAATTTAAAATCTCCTCCAACCTTCTAGCCATCCTATTGCCCAGCACAGCAGACCCTCTTCCGTTTAAGTGCAATCCATCATGAGGTTGTACCCAAGCGCAAAATCGTCCCAGTGCTCTAAAAACCCAAAACCCTCTTTCCTGCACCAAGACTTTAGCCACACATTGACCTCTCTAATCTCCCGCTGCCTTTCTGCTGTAGCACGCGACATAGGTAATATTTCTGAAAAAATTACCTTGGAGGTCCTTTTCTTTAGCTTACTTCCTAGTTCCCTGAACTCATTCTTTAGGACCTTCCATTTTCCTCTGACTTTGTCATTGGTACCAATATGGACCATGACAGCTGGGTCATCTCCAGCCCCTCCCAATAATCCCTCCACTCTGTCGGAAACATGCCGGACCCGAGCACCCAGGAGACAGCAAACTGTCCGGTTGAGTCGATCAGAGTGGCAGATTACCCTATCTACTCTCTTAATAATAGAGTCCCCTACCACCACAACCTGTCTAGACTTCCTTACCCTCTCAACTCCACCCGTACTAGAGGGGCTGTTTCCACGGCTGTTAGCAGGAACAGCTTCCTGCAGTACAGCTACTACTGAGCTGATGCTCCCAACATCTTCACTCAAACGGGCAAATCTGTTAGGCTGCATGAGATCAGGACTAGCTAAACCTTTTCTCTTCCCTCCCCCCCGATTCCTCGCCCCACTGTCACCCAGCTACGTGCCTGTTCCCCATCTGTCTTATCTCCTCCCTCTCCACTACCTGTCCCCACTAAACTCTGCTCAGTGAGCAGCAGACTCCTCTCAAGATTGTCAATCTCCCTCAGTGTTACAATTTCCCTCTCCAGATCTCTAATCTGAGCTTCCAGAAATGCCACTCGCTCACACCCACCACAGAGGTATGGACCCTGGATAGAATCATCCAGGCATGCATACATGTGGCATGATGTGCACTGAGTTAAACTCACAATCTTGCTAGCACTCATCTCCAGTTACCAAAAAACACAAGTGAGCAGAAACAATATTAACCCTCTTGGTTTAAACTCCTTTGCAGTTTCAACTCTTGTTGTTTTAACTCCTACTTAAAAGAGACTACTTGAAATAGCCTACTTTCAAGCAAACTCCAGTGAGCAAGCTCTGTGAGTCAGTAGTGGGTTTATATTGGCAATACAAATCCCACACAGGTGAAAATTAAGGGGCACTCCCCCTAATTAGCTCAGCAACAGCACCCACAAGGAGGGGAATAGAAACAACAAGAGAGGTTGAAAAAAAAAAGGGAGGGAAAATATTTTAAATAACACCAAAAGGGTAAAAGTAAAAAAAAAAAAACCCTACAAAATACAAAAACAAATACAAAAATTTAAACCTGCTTTTTTTTCCACTTGGTATTAACCCCTTCAGGACGGGTGACGGCCGAGGTCCGTCACAGAGGGGAGACCCTTAACGACGGGTGACGGACCTCGTCCGTCACGCGGTAAAATTAACCCCGGATCGCCGCTATCGCGGGGTTAATGGTGCTCCCGGTATGCCTCTGCATTGGAGGCATACCGGGAGCACCCGGTCAAGCTGCCCAGCACATGTGCTCGCTCTGACCACAAGTCTGAGCGAGCACATGTGCTCTCTATACTCACCTACCGGCTCCCTGCACTTCCGGGTTCTGTGTGAAGTGCAGGGAGCCGGATCAGTGATGATCCTGCCCCCTGCTGTTTAAAAAAATAAAGTTTATTTAAAGTCCCCCCCTTACCCATTTTAATAAAAAATTAACCCCTTCCCTGCCAATTGATCACTGACTACAGTGATCAATTGGCAGGGATTACATTTTACTATGATCTGATTTTTTTTTTAACCCCTGAGGGTTAATTCTTTTTTTTTTTAACCCTCAGGGGTTAAATTAATTAAATTAATTAATTAAATTATTTTTTAATTATATATTTAGCTAGCTGGGGTAGGTGGAAGTTAGTGGGGAATTGGGGGATTTGGCGTTAGGCTAACTAGGGGTTAACGTTAAAAAAAGTTTTAAAAGAAACTTTAAAAAGTTAAAAATTAAGCTTAAAAAAATGTTTTAATAACATTTAAGTAAAAAAAACAAAAAAAACACACTTTACCTAGTCCAAATAAAAATTAACCCCTTCCCTGCCAGTCGATCACTGCCTACAGCGATCAAATAGAGATCACAGTATTATACTGTGATCTAATTTTTTTTAACCCCTGAGGATTAACTTTTATTTATTTTTTTTAACCCTCAGGGGTTCAATTTATTTAATTAATTAATTTAAATATTTTATAACTATATATTTTGCTAGCTGGGGTGGGTGGGAGTTATGGGAAAATGGGGAATTTACTGTTACTGCTGCGTACTGCTAGTTAGGGGTTAACGGTAAAAAAAAAAAGCTTAGAAAAATTTTAAATCTGTAAAAAAGTTTTAAGAAAGTTTAGGAAAGTTTAAAAAAAATTTATAAGCAAAACAAAAGTTTAAAAACTAGTTTTTAAAAGTAAAAAAGTTATAAAAAGTAAAAAAATACATTTTAAAAACGCTCATTACCACTACACCTGGAACAAACTAGAGAAAAAAGTATCCCACGCCAAGGTTCAAAATATGCCTTTTGAATTACCCCAGGGTGTATTCTTTAATAAATAGTATGTGTTTGTGGGGAAGTTTCAATAACCAACCGTCTAAACTACTCCAAATTGGAACATGGACACAGCGTAAAACTTCAAAGTTAGAAAAAAACTGAATGGCTGCGTCTCAAATGCGCCCCTTCAGCATCCACATATACCTGGCAAAGGTACATACGGGGGTATTGCTGTACTCAGCCGACATAGCTGAGCAATACTTATTACCACTACACTTGGTACAAGCTAGCGGAAAAATGATCCCACGCTAAGGTTCAAAATATGCCTTTTGAAATACCCTGGGATGTCTTCTTTAAGAAATGGTATGGCTTTATGGGAATTTGGATTATATAGCCTGGTAAAATACTCTAAAATGGGACATAGGCACAGCATAAAAATTCAAAGTTTGAAAAAAACTGGAATGGCTGTGTCCCAAATGTGCCCCTCCGATATCCACACATACCTGGCAAAGGTACATACGGGGGTATTGCTGTACTCAGCCGACATAGCTGAGCAACATATGAAGTAGTATACAGTCGTAGTACACATAAGGTTTGCAAAATATACTGCGCAAACTCACTTTGTGTGTCAAAAGGCAGAAAAAATGCTTATTACCACTACACTTGGTACAAGCTAGCGGAAAAATGATCCCACGCTAAGGCAGAAAAAACGCTTATTACCACTACATCTGGCACAAGCTAGCGGAAAAATGATCCCACGCTAAGGTTCAAACTATACCTTTTGAAACACCCTGAGGTGTCTACTTTAAGAAATGGTGGGTGGCCTTGTGGGGTTTTTGAACAGTCAAAACTGTTATAATACCTCAAATGGAAGCTAAGGCTCATTAAATCCATCTCTGTAAATTCCTACTGTGAATACTGTAAAGGACAGGTTCCCTATATGGTACACATTCATATGGGGTGTCATTTTTACTCAGAAGACTTAGCTGAGCATAATTTGGGTTTGAACTTAGTGGCACATAAGGAAATATGTACAAAACTACCCAGCAAAATGCAATCCCAGATAAAAATGCACAAAATTATTTTACCACATAATTTTGGTATTAAGTACAGAAAAAATGTAGGTACAGCTAAGGCACAATATGCACCTTATAAGATACCCCTTGGAGTGTCTTACTTACAAAATGGTAGGCCTTTGTGGGGTTTTTTTGAACAGTCAAACTGTTATAATACCCCAAATGGAAGCTAAGGCTCATTAAATCCATCTCTCAAAATTCTACTGTGAATACAGTAAAGGACAGGTCTCCTATATGGCACTGTAGCTTCACGAAATAGTGCCAAAGACATTCATATGGGGTGTCATTTTACTCAGAAGACTTAGCTGAGCATAATTTGGGGGTTTGAACTTAGTGGAACATATGAAATATACAAAATGCCCAGCAAAAATGCAATCCGTATGTAAAAAATGCACAAAATTATTTTTTACCACATATTTTGGCATATATTGGTGAAAAAATGGGGGCATGTTAAGGCACAATATGCACCTTATAAGATACCCTGGAGTGTCTACTTTTACAAATGGTAGGCCTTTTGTGGGGTTTTTTTGAACAGTCAAACTGTTATAATACCCCAAATGGAAGCTAAGGCTCATTAAATCCATCTCTCAAAATTCTACTGTGAATACTGAAAAGGACAGGTATCCTGTATGGCACTGTAACTTCACGAAATAGTGCAAAAGACATACAATGGGGTGTCATTTTACTCAGCAGATGTAACTGAACACAAAATAAAACTTTGTACAGGAATAGCACACACCAACTTTACAAAATATACACGAGAATTTCTCTGTTATAAGTTTGTGTGCCAAAAACCAAAAGAACACAATTTTACTCCAATATTTAGCAGAGGTTGGCGGTAATATGGCTACGTAGAAAGTGTCAAAACAACCTTAGGTAAATAGCCCGTGATGTCTACTTTATATAAATATATACTTTTGTGTGGCAATTTTGTTTTCTTTTATGGCTATTACGCTTACAAGACAAACATACCAAATTCTAAAATCGCCCCACATTAAAAGTTTATTTTACTCCTTGTGCTTTGTGACCTGTAACTACCAAAAAAAAACTTAAAATCCCAGACACATTATATATTCTGTAAATCAGAACAAATAAATAAATTTATTTTTAATTACTTTCCTTAACCTGCACTAATTATGCACACATTATTATTGCAAAACCTGTAAAAAAAAACAATATTTTTCTATTTATTTGCATTTTTCTGTATTTTTTTTATAATAAGTAAGCATTTATATATATATATATGTTATATCAAATTAAAGCCCTTTCTGTCCTTTAAAAAACAGTGTATAATATGTGTCGGTGCAATAAATGAGAGAGATGCAAATTGCAGTTGAACGCAAACAGCAAGAAAATGCAAAAATTGCTTGTGTCATTAAGCGTAAGTCAAGCTTCTGAAGCTGTGTCCTTAAGGGGTTAACTAATGCCAACCACAGTCCACCAGTTCACCAACAAACTCCTTTTGTTTTAACTCCTACTTAAAAGAGACTACTTTAAATAGCCTACTTTCAAGCAAACTCAATTAAATCGAGTACTGGTTTTGTGTGATTAGACTGCTTTATTTGCAGTATAAATTCCACCAAATTAGCATTTTATTTATATCTATTCATGGAATTTTTAAAAATGTTACACCTAACTGTATATATTTCTAAAATAATATGTTAACAATATCTTCTTGCCTTTTAGCTTACTGCATGTTCTCTCTGAGAAACATAGCACTGTGTACTGTGTATTTCCTTTTAAAATTTGTAAAAATATCCTAAATCAATATTAACAATACATTTATTTTATACACTTGTATATGTGTCTTATTTGTCACACATTCCCTAAAAGAAAAACCTTGTAAGGGGGCTGTATTTTCAAAGTCACACAGATCTTTTTGCTTGCCCTTTTTTCATGCTTTCAACAAATGAATTTCAAAGTCCTGCCACCAAAGTCTGCAACCCTGCCATGCCCACCTCAAACCACGTGCTCCTGCCTCGTGCACCCCAAAGCCCTGCCCTAGGACCACCAACCTCCAAGTTCCTCAATGTGAAGTAGAGTCCTGTTATGACAGGTACTCCCCCTGCTGCCTGAAATGATATTGATTAAATATATATATAATTTTCATTATCTATATTTATATATAATATAAAATAAATAAATATGTAAATACGTAAAAAAAAATATTAAAAAAATAATAATAAAGTAAATTAAATATATATAAATGTGTGTAAATTCGTTTTAATTTTATTTAAAAATGTATATATATATATATGTATATATATATATATATATATAGATAGATAGATAGATAGATAGATATAATTCTACGTATGTATTTATGTAATAAT